CCGTAGGAAGAGAGTTGAACCGAACAGTCAGTTCAAAAAGTGAACTACTGAATGACTATATTCAGTCACCCCCACGAGGGTGTCATGTGGACACAAGGCCTTTTTAACGTGGGCATTCCCGAGCCATTAGGCTCGGCCAAAAATAGCCCATTTGAACCCGTATAAACGGGTTCAGGGCCGGTTTTACCTCCCGAAGGAGACTCCGCCCTTCGGCGTAGCCTCCTTCGGGTTCCTCCCGCCCGTAGGAAGAGAGTGCTGACTGACAATATTCGTGCAGTCGGTTTCCCGAAAAGTGAACCACTGAATGACAATATTCAGTCACCCTTCCCCCGCCCGTAGGAAGAGAGTTTAACGAGTCTGGTGAACTGCTCACAATATTCAGTCACCCCCACGAGGGTGTCATGTGGCACAAGGCCTTTTTAACGTGGGCATTCCCGAGCCATTAGGCTCGGCCTCCCGAAAAAATAGCCCATTTGAACCCTGCTGACTGACAATATAAACGGGTTCAGGGCCGGTTTTTACCTCCCCCTGAAGGAGGCTAACTCCGCCCTTAAACGGGTTCGGGCCCAGCCCCGAAGGAGACCTTCGAGTTCCTTCCCGCCCGTAGGAAGAGAGTTCAAACCGAGCAGTCGGTTCAAAAGTGAACTACTGAATGACAATATTCAGTCACCCCCCCACGAGGGTGTCATGTGGCACAAGGCCTTTTTAACGTGGGCATTCCCGAGCCATTAGGCTCGGCAAAAAATAGCCCATTTGAACCCGTATAAACGGGTTCAGGGCCGAATTTAACTCCCGAAGGAGACCCGCCCTTCGGCGTAGCCTCCTTCGGGTTCCTCCCGCCCGTAGGAAGAGAGTTCAAACCGAGCAGTCGGTTCAAAAGTGAACTACTGAATGACAATATTCAGTCACCCCCACCCCACGAGGGTGTCATGTGGCACAAGGCCTTTTTAACGTGGGCATTCCCGAGCCATTAGGCTCGGCCAAAAATAGCCCATTTGAACCCGTATAAACGGGTTCTGGGCCAGTAGGCCCGGCCAAAAAAGTTCAAACCGAGCAGTCGGTTCAAAAGTGAACTACTGAATGACAATTGAACCCCCCCACGAGGGTGTCATGTGGCATAAAACGGGTTTAGGGCAAAAAAAATAGCCCATTTGAACCCGTATAAACGGGTTCTGGGCCGAGCGACTTTAACCTCCCGAAGGAGAAACCGCCCTTCGGCGTAGCCTCCTTCAGGTTCCTCCGCCCGTAGGAGAGTTCAAACCGAATGACAATATTCAGGATGACAAGGCCTTTTTAACGTGGGCCCCGAGCCATTAGGCGGCGTAAATAGCCATTTGAACCTTCGGGTACTGGGTTTACCTCCCCGAAGGAGACTCCATCCTTCGACGTAGCCTCCTTCGGGTTCCTCCCGCCCGTAGGAAGAGAGTTCAAACCGAGCAGTCGGTTCAAAAAGTGAACGACTGAATGACAATATTCAGTCACCCCCCTCCACGAGGGTGTCATGTGGCACAAAGGCCTTTTTAACGTGGGAATTCCCGAGCCATTAGGCTCGGCCAAAAAATAGCCCATTCGAACCCGTATAAACGGGTTCTGGGCCGGTTTAACCTCCCGAAAGAGACTCCGCCCTTCGGCGTAGCCTCCTTCGGGTTCCTCCCGCCCGTAGGAAGAGAGTTCAAACCGAGCAGTCAGTTCAAAGGTGAACTACTGAATGACAATATTCAGTCACCCCCCACGAGGGTGTCATGGCACAAGCCTTTTTAACGTGGGCATTCCCGAGCCATTAGGGCCGGCCAAAAAAAAGCCCATTTGAACCCCGTTTAAACGGGTTCTGGGCCAATTTAACCTCCCCGAAGGAGAAACCATTCGGCGTAGCCTCCTTCAGGTTCCTCCCCGCCCGTAGGAAGAGAGTTCAAACCGAGCAGTCGGTTCAAAAGTGAACTACTGAATGACAATATTCAGTCACCCCCCACGAGTTTGGCAACCCTTTTTAACGGGTTTCAGCCATTAGGCTCGGCCAAAATAGTTGGCATTCCCGACCCGTATAAACCCGTATAAACGGGTTCTGGGCCCATTTAACCTCCCCCGAAGGAGACTCCGCCCTTCGGCGTAGCCTCCTTCGGTTCCCCTCCTGCCCGTAGGAAGAGAGTTCAAACCGAGAAGTCGGTTCAAAAGTGAACTACTGAATGACAATATTCAGTCACCCCCCACGAGGGTGTCATGTGGCACAAGGCCTTTTTAACGTGGGCATTCCCGAGCCATTAGGCTCGGCCAAAAATAGCCCGTATAAACGGGTTCCGTATAAACTCCCCGGGTTCTGGGCCGTAGCCTCCTTCGGGTTCCTCCCGCCCGAAGGAAGAGAGTTCAAACCGAGCAGTCAGTTCAAAAAGTAACTACTGAATGACAATATTCAGTCACCCCCCCCACGGGGTGTCCTCTCAAGCCTTTAACGTGGGCATTCCCGGAAGATTAGGCTCGGCCAAAAGCCCATTTGAACCCGTATAAACGGGTTCTGGGCCCATTTACCTCCCAGGTGACTCCGCCCTTCGGCGTAGCCTCCTTCGGGTTCCTCCCCCCGTAGGAAGAGTTCAAACCGAGCAGTCGGTTCAAAAGAACTACTGAATGACAATATTCAGTCACCCCCCCCACGAGGGGTGTCATGTGGCACAAGGCCTTTTTAACGTGGGCATTCCCGAGCCATTAGGCTCGGCCAAAAATAGCCCATTTGAACCCGTATAAACGGGTTCTGGGCCGATTTTTAACCTCCCGAAAGGAGAAACCGCCCTTCGGCGTAGCCTCCTTCGGGTTCCCCCCGCCCGTAGGAAGAGAAAACCGAGCAGTCGGTTCAAAAGAACTACTGAATGACAATATTCAGTCACCCCCACGAGGGGGTGTCATGTGGCAAAGGCCTTTTTAACGTGGGCATTCCCGACCATTAGGCTCGGCCAAAAATAATTTGAACCCGTATAAACGGGTTCTGGGCCGGTTTAACCTCCCCGAAGGAGAAACCGCCCTTCGGCGTAGCCTCCTTCGGGTTCCTCCCGCCCGTAGGAAGAGAGTTGAACCGAACAGTCAGTTCAAAAGTGAACGACTGACTGACGATATTCAGTCACCCCCACGAGGGTTCATGTGGCACAAGGCCTTTTAACGTGGGCATTCCCGAGCCATTAGGCTCGGCCAAAAAAATAGCCCATTTGAACCCGTATAAACGGGTTCAGGGCCGGTTTTACCTCCCCGTAGGAGACTCCACCCTTCGGCGTAGCCTCCTTCGGGTTCCTCCCGCCCGTAGGAAGAGAGTTTAACCGAACAGTCTGCAGTGAACTGCTGACTGACAATATTCAGTCACCCCCCACGAGGGTGTCATGTCACAAAGGCCTTTTTTAACGTGGGCATTCCCGAGCCAGGCCTTTTTTAACCCGTATAAACGGATTCAGGGCATTTTACCTCCCGTAGGAGACTCCACCCGTTCGAGCCTCCTTCCAGGCCTCCGGCCCGTAAAGATTTAACCGAACAGTTTGAACCCTGTATAAACGGGTTCATGGGCCTTTTAACGTGGGCATTCCCAGAGCCATTAGGCTCGGCCAAAAAATAGCCCATTTGAACCCGTATAAACGGGTTCTGGGCCAGAAGGAGACTCCGCCCTTCGGCGTAGCCTCCTTCGGGTTCCTCCGCCCGTAGGAAGAGAGTCTGCAAACTGCTGACTGACAATATTCAGTGTCATGAGGCCTTTTTAACGACATTCCCGAGCCATTGACTGTCGCCCATTTGAACCCGTATAAACGGGTTCTGGGCCACTGAAGGAGACTCCGCCTTCGGCGTAGCCTTTATTCCTCCCGCCCGTAGGAAGAGAGTTTAACCGATCAGTCTGCAGTGAACTGCTGACTGACTGTCGCCTACTGACTGAGGCGCCGTATTTATTAAGTATGGAATAATTATTATTATTATGATAAAATCCTATAACATATATATATATATATATATATATATATATATATATATATATATATATATTATACGGTACTTAGTGAAAAGTGCTCAATATCTATGATAGAGTTAGCATATCCAGTTGTATAGATATTAGTTTGTAACCCTGGGGTTTGTCTGGTGAACTTAAAAGCCTGAAAGCCAAGGTTACGAACTAATATCCATAAATGAATATATATATATATATATATATATATATATATATATATATATATATATATATATAGACAATAAAAGACAATAGGCAAACTGTATTATTAGCTGACGCTTCGTCCAATGTGGACTTTTAAGGTAAAAACGAAATTTATTGAAAACAAAATAATTATTAACAACAAACAAAATGTCCTTAGCAACTAGAAGAATTTTGAAAACGCTTTTGTATTCATATTGTCATATTGACGTAATTTTCAACTGTCAATATGAATACAATAGCGTTTTCTAAATTTTTCTAATTGCTAAGGACATTTTGTTTGTTGTTAATAGTTATTTTGTTTTCATTAAATTCATTTCATTTCGTTTTTACCTTGAAAATTCCTCATTGGACGTAACAGTTTAGCTATTGTCTTTTACCTTTATAAATATTGTCTTTTTCTACAAGTTAACTATGAGAAATTTTTCATATATATATATATATATATATATATATATATATGTGTGTGTGTGTGTGTGTGTGTGTGTGTGTGTGTGTGTGTGTGTTTGCGTAGAGAAAGAGAGAAAGAAAGAAGGAAATAGAATTATAGACAACACTTAAATAAGATTACAAGATGACATTTAAATCTAAGGCAGGCCGAAGATCCCATCGACTGAAACACCGCGTTGAAAATAGAAAAGATAAGGACACTTGGGTGAAAAAGGTACAAACATTTGAGAAAAAATACGTAAACGTAAGAAAAAAACATTAATTCTTATGACGAAAGTTGCAATGTATTTACAAATATGGAAAAACGACAGATAAATACAAATAAAAGAATAATAATAATAGTAATAATAATAATAATAATAATTGGACAAAAAATAAATTAAAAAGCCAAAACCAAACTTCCTGATGGATGAAAGCAACGAATAGAAGAAAGAAAAGAAAATGCCGTAAAAGATCGAAACCTGAAAAAGATAGGGAGAAGAAAAACGTAAAGAAAAATTAATGGCTGCATTTGTACTCACCGTCGGGAAAGACAGCTCGCATCTTGAGATAACTAGTGGAAAGTCGAATTATGGAGGCCTTGTCCAACTGACTTGTGATGGCCGACGGCAAGGGTAACAGTTTGGCCAGTTCGTAAAATTCAGCATTTTCTTTTTCCCGTCGGGTGCGCGCAGCATTTTTAGACTTTTCCTTCATTGCCTCGAGCCTGACAAAAGAAATAAAAAAAAAATAAAAAAAAATAAAATTAGCGACGAGAATTTGAAAACAAAAATAGAAAAAACAACAACAACAGCAACAAAAAAAACCACTGACAAGCAGACGGGTTATTGTTTCTACGGCACAGTTTATATACGGGTGGGGCATTTGTGTAGGGTAGGGCGATAGGGGAAAAGAGAGAAAAACGGATTACGAGGTTATGTAGTCGCGTGTGCATGTGCGTACGTCTATCCTATAGTGTGTCGGGATGTATTCTTACTGAGCGAATATGCGTGCGTGACACACACACACACACACACACACACACACACACACACACACACACACACACACACACACGCACACACACACCTCTCTCCCCCTCTCTCTTACTATGTATGCATGCGTGGGTGTGCGAGAGATGGCGAGAGAGAGAGAGAGCGAGAGAGAGAGAGCGAAACATGCGATTTCATGTAATGCGTGTGTTATTCGACCTGTGTATGTGTATCAATTGTTATATACGAGGTCCTACGAAGAGTATCGAGACTGGAGCCATACAAAGAAAACTACAATATATATCAATTCGGCATTTAATCTCCTTCAAACTAGTCCTCTTCTGAAACCACACACTTTATCCAGCATCGTTTTCGTTGATAGAAGCATTATTGGAACTCCTTTTTTTTGGTGGGGGGGATAGTGAGCAGCTGCCTCGACGTATTTTCTTAGATTTCCTCGACGTCTTGAAACTATGTTCAGTTCAAGTGGGATTTGATTTTTGAAGAGGAAAAAAATTACAAGGGCACAGATCTGAGAAATATGATGGTTGTCGTACCTGGAAAATGTCGTACTTGGTTCAAAACTGCTTCAAAAGCCATGATTACTAATGAAAAGTCTATGGTGTGGCGAATCGGCCACACTCTACACACTTTCCTTCCAATCACTGCTATAAACAACGGAAACGAGCGAGAACAGTATGACTTAGTATCCATACGTGAGAGGGTTCAAGGCCAATCTGTGTCAATCAGCTTCTCTCTGCGTACTTTAGTATGTGTGTGTATGTGTGTGTGTACGTGTGACTATAAGCATGCGTACGCCAATGTTTGGGTGCAAACCTTTGACATTAATATACTGTTAGAAAGCGTGTGTGCTGAAATACTTGCCGTACCTCACAAATCTAAGCTTAGTTTGGCACAAGGCCACAAAAGTAGGATATAAAATTTGTTTAGTCTAGCATAACACTCCAACAGAACTGGATTACGAGAAAAAAAGGATTTCTAATTGCTTAGGAGGCCTGAAATCGAAACACCTAAACTACAATACGGAAATGACCCAACTTGCAAAGAGATGTTTGCTAAGAGAGTTAAAAGCAAGTATAACATTGATGGGGTTAGAAATTTAAAGTGTAACACATTATGAGGAGCTTTGGTGATACTGAAAAATGCTATCAAATGAGATCATTCCAAGAAGTGATAAGCAAGAAAAAGCAGTGGATGACAGATGAAAATCTCGACAGGATGAAAAAGATACAGTAAACAATGCCAAGGAATGGTACAAAATATAGAATATTTAGCACAAACTTTAGAAACAAATTCGGGTAGGCAAAAGATGAATAGCTCAACGAAAAATGTACAGAGATAGAAGGAATTAGCATCATAGATGCAGCATGTATGCACAAACAACTAATGGAAATAGCAGGATAAAAGACCTACTCCTCGATAGGGTGCATCTGAAGATGGATACACAGGAGAACTTTTGCACGCCGAAAGAATATACACAAAAATAAACCTGAGGTAAGATCGACAATAGAGAAGATGAACAAAAAAAAATAACAGGACCAAATAGAATTGTAATAGAGATGCTATCAGATTTAGTCAAGTCGGGTACCAACAAAAGTACAGAAATAATAAACGAAATATACGACAACGGTGAGATGCCGGAACACCTCAGTAGATCCATCTTCATAGCACTGCATAAGAAACAAGGTGCAAATGAATGCGAGCAACATCAGACAATGAGTGTTTGGAATAAAAGTGATAGATGGAATAAAGTGCTAATCCCATATATCATACCTTAATAATACATCATATCAAATGCTATATCGTAAATTATATTTTACCGAAATCTAAAACACCTGACATAAAATACAATCTAGACAACATTCATCCCTATTTAATATTGACATGGTCGTTGCAATAAAAGTGGTAGATGGAACTTTTAAATGATCTTTTTAAATAATTTTTAGTAATAAAATGTTTTGTTCAAGAATATTCACCTCCTAAATTACGGGTCTAGAGGAAATCTCTTGAGTATTAAATAAAAAGTGTGGCCAGAACAAGTAGATCCCGGATGAATTTCCCCTCACCCACTGAAATAATCACTTCGACCCTTTTTTATTACAGCGGGTGTTGTGTTTTGATAAATACAATAAAGATAACGATACTAGTTTGAATAAATTACTGAGTAAAAGATCTGAAAAGATATTTTTTCTGAAATTATTTTTCTTATATCATCTAACTTGTCATTAAATTCTTCACTAAATAAATGCCAAGGAATGTGTGTGTGTGTGTGTGCGTGCGTGCGTGTATTTCAAAAATTTCCTTCGTGTTTCTGAGCAATCAAAAGGAAAAATGAAATGGATAAAAAGAAAAAGACGTTAAAAATTGTCAAGATAACGATCTTGAAATCGAGATCCATCGATGACAAAAGACGGGGAAGAAGCATCGAGAATTGGCAGGATTTGACCAAATAAACATTCTGTAGAGATTCCACGCATAGAATACGAAACAGAGAGAGAGAGAGAGAGAGAGAGAGAGAGAGACAGACAGACAGAGACACAAATAGAGATCGTATTCTTATGGTTGGACCTAATTACATTTCTAGTAGAGATTCCAGGTAAACCATATGATACAGGGACAGAGAGAAAGAGAGAGAGAGAGAGAGAGAAAGAGAGAGAAGGTACATTTCTATAGAAATCCCTGGTAAGTCATAAGGGAAGGGGAGAGAGTGAGTGAGTGAGTGAGTGAGTGAGTGTGTTAGAGACAAATCGTATTCTTATAATTGAACCTAATTACCTTTTCAGTAGAGATTCCAGGTAACCCATATAATAGAGAGAGAATGAAAGATAGATCATATTCTTATGATTGGAACTGATTACATTTCTAGTAGAGATTCCAGGTAAGCCATCAGAGAGAGAGAAAGAGAGATCGTAATTCATAAGTTGTAATGCTTAAGTGATAATTCTTAAGTTGTGGAATAATATTTCTTAATTCTTAAATTGTAATGCTTGCTTGATAATAAGATATGGAGAACGAACGGCAGATAACTAGTTTAGATTCTTTTTTATATATTTTAAGAATTAATTGATTTCTTTTTTTACTGTTTTTATGTGGTTTTGTAAAACTGAAAATAATTTTTGGATTGTAAGAAACATTATTATTTTTTTGAGAGTGAAGATTGCATAAACAATTACTTTTAGAATAACAAGAATTTTTCCAAATACAAGTCCTACTATTTAATCCATAGATGGGGAGAGGAGCTAGAGTCGTACCTTTGCTCGGGATAATTTGCGTGTAACTAAATAGAACGAACCCAATTAGGATTCGAACTTCTCATTCCGACCCGCTACCATTACACCACCCACACATCGTCTTGGAGAATAGGATGAAAATAATCAACAAAATGTTACAAAGAATGAAACCGCTTAAAAGCTTGGTATATCAAGGTATGGTGTTCAAGTCCACTCTGAGGGAGTATGCGCATGTTGAGAACTTTTTGGACACAGAAATAACTGGTACCCCTTCGGAGCATAGGAAACAAGGTGGGTATTAGTAGGCAAAAGCAAAATCAACAACTCGTTAAATAATACATGAAAGCAACAAATGAATTATCAGTTGATGAAGTAAGAAAGTCCCTAATCCTAACCCTAATCCTAATCCTAATCCTAACCCTAATCCTAACCCTAATCCTAATTCTAACTATAATTCTAACCCTAATCCTAATCCTAACCCTAATCCTAATTCTAACCATAATTCTAATCCTAATTCTAACCCTAATTGTAATCCTAACCCTAATCGTAATTCTAACCATAATTCTAATCCTAACCTTAATCCTCATTCTAACCCTAATTGTAATCCTAACCCTAATCCTAATTCTAACCCTAATCGTAATCCTAACCCTAATCCTTATTCTAATCGTAACCTAATCTTAATCCTAACCCTAATCCTAATTGTAACCGTAATTCTAATCCTAACCCTAATCCTAATTCTAACCCTAATCTTAACCGTAATTCTAATCTTAATTCTAACACTTATCCTAACCCTAATCCTAATCCTAACCCTGCTGCTACTTAAAAGTTATCTCAATGGATGCGTTGCAAACAAAAACAAAAAGAAGCCATCATTACCTAATGAAACAAGTTATGGAAAGAAGTGAAAATGAGGAGGATAAGGAGGATAGATAACAAATGAGCCATGATTTGAGGTAGTGTTCACAGAAGCACTCACGCGGGCGCCTGTTCCACAAGTATTAGTTCTTGGGGGAAAAGAACTGATTGGAACTTTATTCTTACATTTGGAATACGGGGTAAATGAGGGTGCTTCAAAATCGTGGAAGTGGCACAGCTCTAAATGTCTGCACTTTTGGAATTTAAGAACTTGACCAGAAAGGATTATACGAAAAAGAGTTATGCAAGGACGTTGACGTTACTTCAAAGTACTGTGTTACTAATGAAAGTGTCAACCCAACATTCCCAATAAATTCCCATGAAAAAAAAACAAACAAATTTGCTTTAAATGAAAGACAGATAAATGTTTGTATGAAAGAGAATATCAAAATAAATAAATAATAATATATATGTTCATTATCGAATTAATCATTAGAGTAAGTCTTCTCAATCTTTTGTAGCCACAATAAAAGGCGGTTAATATCAAAGATCTGCATAAAAAAACCGTTTGTAATTTAAAAAATATAAATCTGGATAAAAGAAAAGAAGTTCGTTTGTTGGATGACATTAAATAAATGTGTCTATAAGATAAGGTTCTTATCGGAAAGATAACAAATTGAACGAACAACGAGCTACAAAAATATCAGGGGAAATAATAATAAAATAATAATAATAATAATAATAATAATAATGAAAGCAATGATACAAAGACTCAGCCTAATCTAAAGAAAATGAAAAGGACACCAATTTTCAAACGCATGTGGAAAAGTCGACCACTTCATATATGTGGTCCACATAAAATATTTACAAAGAATAAAAACAAGATAGATAGATAGATAGATAGATAGATAGATAGATAGATACGAACAGACTAACACACATACAAACACACACAGAGATCTATCTATCTATCTATCTATCTATATATATATATATATATATATATATATATATATATATTTATGAATAAAAATGACAATAGGAAAACTGATAATTGCTGACGCGTGAAATTTATGTGGACTTTATCAAAGCAAAATACGAATACGTATTTTGCTTTGATAAAGTCCACATTAGACGAAACGCGTCAGCAATTAACAGTTTTCCTATTGTCGTTTTATTATTCATAAATATTGTCTTCTCTACTGGTTAAATCGAGAATTTTCATATATATATATATATATATATATATATATATATATATATATATATATATATATGTAGTATCTGAATGAGTTTCATGCACAACGCAATCTGCAGGTGCTGAGTATAGACTGATCATTACGTAATTTCAATTTTAATAAAATTATTTGGCTACCGCAATGTCGGAGACAGTCATATATCATACTGGGATTACAGATTTTATTTAAAAATGGTTTTATCATTTAAAAAAACTGGATTTATATATATATATATATATATATATATATATATATATATATATATATAAATATATATATATATATATATATATATATATATATATAAATCCAGATTCGGCTATAAACACTCCCTGATGATGATAACCACACACAGAACGGCTTGAAATAGTCTATCTCTATGTTGAGGTAGTTTTGTTTGTTGCTGTAATAAATACATTACACTGTTAAAATAAAATATTAGCTCTTTGGGATCAGCTTTAATATTATATACGCTTGGATCCATTATTATATATATATGGATATTATATATATATATATATATATATATATATATAATTATTTTTTGAAAATTATAACATAAATATGTTATAAAATCACTACAAAAACAGGTATTTTGTTTCAACACTTCTGGTGTTTTATCAAGTGATGATGTTCAACATCATCACTTGATAAGACACTAATGTGTTGAAACAAAATGGCTATTTTGTAGTGATTTTATAACATTTATGTTACAATTTTCGAATAAATAATTATATTTGCTCTACTCTGTATTGAGCACTCTTTTTAAGAATAGTATTTGTTGATTTATTCTGTATACACCAATCCTATATTTGTATATATATATATATATATATATATATATATATATATATATATAGTCTAGTGTGCTATATTTATGGGATAAAGTGCTCAATATCAGAGATAGAGCGTGTAAATATAAAAATGAACATAGAAGTCAACACTTAGAGGCGACAGTCTTTTCCATGCTATATATATATATATATATATATATATATATATATATATATGTATGTAAAAAATTACTTTAGAGTTGTGAATTTTTTATATTAAGCATAAAGGGATATTACTGGTTCTTTTCAAATAAATAAATAAAACATAATTTATATTAAAAATTAATCTGGGTCAACGCATTTAAGCAGATATTTATTTTTATTTTTACATGTAACAATCCATTCATTTCTCTTGTTTAATACGCTATAGTTATTCAAGTGTTTTAAATTTTTCAACAAGGCATAAATTTCACCTATCGCCTTTCCCATTGTAAGACTTGGATTTATCTACAATATCCCACGTAATAATGACTGTATTATCCCCATTCTTTACTTGCCAGAAATGTTTGAAGAGAGCAGTCCAGTTTATATTTAATTGCCTAAAGTCATTCGATCATGATAGAAACAAAATGTCCCAAAATTTTTAATGGAACCAAATTAAAATTTGACATCGTTACCGGAATGTATGCTAACTCGGTATACAATATTATCAGTTATACATTAACCGTTTAAGGGACAGATCATATTTCTTAGACAGTTTCATTTATTTAAAAAAAATAACTTTGCTATCTTTGTTCGTCATGTATATGTTTAATATAATATTATATATATATATATATATATATATATATATATATATATATATATATATATAAGAGATGAATATTTGTATATATTCATGAAATAAATTATAACCGAATGGATTTTTAAGGATCGTCTGTACTTATTATATTGCTCTGTTTCATTATTCAATATTGAATGATGAAACAGAGCAATATTGGTCGATGTCTTATTTCTTTCTTATGGAGTTTAGTTGGCATTCGACTCTTTCGAAGTCCCAGACTACTTCGTCATGGGTCAACAGAAGATATAAGCGAACATTTTGCCTTTCAAAGAGAAAAAGGAAATACTGGGACCATGCTCGAGGGAATCATTGCCGATTATTTCTGTGATTTGAGGACTGTAAACGGTCCAAATTTCCTCAACAGAAGCAGTTTAACGACTGATAAATACAGTATTGACACTCAATTTATTGGTGCGTAAACTAAACTTCAAGCACACGATAAAAAACGTATTTTTAAAAACTTAGACAAAAAGTATTTTTCTAATTCTGAGAGGTCAGCTCAATACTTATAAAATCTTAGATTCTCTCGTGGTTCGGGCATTAACCACTCGAGTGGTAGTTCAGAGGATGGTGAGAAAGATGGCAGCTGAAGCCTATCTCTATGCAGAAGGTGTCTCATACATTTGTCTAGAAATGTTGTGATAAATTTAGAGGTAGCTCTCTGTCCACCACCCTCTCCTTCCTTGCACCCCATCCCCTCCTTAAATTTTGAAGGACACACCTGTCAAACTCCCGCTTTCAAAACTTTACATGGAGGCGCAGAAAAGTTTTCCGCACCACTCACTTCTTAAAATCTGATCAAGCATCGGATTTCTTTCTGTCTTTCTTTCTTTCCTTCTTTCTTTCCTTTCTTTCTTTCTTTCTTTCTTTCTCTCCTAGTCGTGCTGAGAACTTTTCGGTAAATACAAAGTGCGGCAGAAATACCTCAAACATTTTAACTTGTCACCTGTGTGGTGCTAGTAAACTTAAGCAAGTGACAGTAGTGTCTTCATCGTCTTATATCGGAGGTATTTCTGGGGTGGGGGGGTCTTTTGCACTCTGTACAAGCAAAAGAGGAAAATACTGCGAAATATTACCAAAAATATTTGTTAAATTTTCGGAGATAATTCTCACTCTAAATAATTTAAATTAATTTTAAATTTCTCGATGTTTTACGGGTTATCAACCTTTTGTGGGTTTGTCTATATTTCTGAGATGAGGTATTATGTACATTATTTACATTATTCGGACTATTGTCCTCATCTTTTTCGCCATATTTATCAACACGTTTCGGCCGTTGTACGCTCCGGTCTTCTTCAGGTGGTTGGAATGTCGAACTGAACCCTGGGATAGGCGGGTACAAGAGGAGGAGGACAACAACACTCAGAAAACAGTCTGCCTGCCTTATGTGAAGGGGTTATCAGAGAAAATACAAAGGATCTGCGGTCCATATAACATCAGGACAACCTTCAAAAGCTTGACGACACTTCGCAGATATCTCTCCCGAGTAAGACCTCCCCATAGAGGAGAACATGACTAAAGACTGTGTGTACGCTATCCCATGCAGCTGCGGAAATGAATATAAAGGAGAGACAGGCCACCTCCTCAAGGTAAGGCTTCAAGAACACCAGAAAGCTGTAACACGAGGGGAAGTAGAAAAATCAGGCGTGGCTGACCACATATGGAGAGAGAAGGGAGATCACCGCCCTCTGTGAGATCAGGTAGAGATCATAGACAAGGAACACCATTGGAATATTCGTAAACTTAAGGAATCTGCACATATGCTAGGCCACAAAAATCTCCTGAGCCGACCAAGCATAGAAATAAATACAATATGGGAACAAGTAATAAGGAGTGCCAGAGAAAAGCAATGATAGCAACATAGTTGCAATATGAGCTCTGGTAAAAACATGCAGGATAACAGCAAAAAATTGCAATATGAGCACTGCTAAAAATGTTTGCTGAAGACATTAGGTTTATAATACCCAGAAATTCATAACCCAAGCACAGTGGATAAAGGCGTTGGTTAGATCCAGTGATAGGACCCAAAGAGTGTGAGTTCAAGGCAGAGGCGAACTTGCAGAGTGGAATTAACAGGAGATAACTGACATCCATTAAACATGACACGTGGAACTAGAACAGTCTAACCCAGTGAGCGAAATAAAGGGTTCAGTTCAACATTCCAACCATCTTTTGTGGGTTGTTTAAATCAAACGGGTATATTTACAAACCTATTAAGTTTTTGTTCTTGCAATATTTAGTGGAGTTGTGGGATAATATTTCTTAATTCTTAAGTTGTAATGCTTGCTTGATAATAAGATATGAACAAACTAACCCCAGATTACGAATTTAGATTCTTTATATATATATATATATATATATATATATATATATATATATATATATTAAAAATTAATTGATTTCTTTTTACGGTTTTTATGTGGTTTTTAAAGCTGAAAAATATTTTGGATTGAAAGAAACATTCTTTTTTTTGCGAGTGAAGATCGCATTAACAATTACTATTAGAATAACAAGAATTTTTCCAGATCAAGTCCTACTATTTAACCCATAGATGGGGAGAGGAGGTAGAGTCGTACCTTTCCTCGGGTAATTTGCGTGTAACTGAATAGAACGAACCCAACTAGGAATCGAACTTCTCATCCCGACCCGCTAACCATTACACCACTCACACATCGTCTTGGAGAATAGGATGAAAATTATCAACAAAATGTTACAAAGAATGAAACCGCTTAAAAGCTTGGTATATCAAGGTATGGTGTTCAAGTCCACTCTGAGGGAGTATGCGCATGTTGAGAACTTTTTGGACACGGAAATAACTGGTACCCCTTCGGAGCATAGGAAACAAGGTGGGTATTAGTAGGCAATCGCAAAATCAACAACTCGTTAAATAATACATGAATGATTTCAGTGATTATCATTTCTAACTTGCAAACCATTCACCCTCGATACAGAGGAGACTTCTGTCATAAATATAAGAAATTCTGTTTCCTGTCTAAATTGCTGAGTTGAGGAGTTAGCATTATTTATATTATTTACATATGAATTATTATCCTCATCTTTGCTGTTGTTGTCACAA